ACATTAAAATCGGTTGAACTGTTTAGGATGATACAGAATTTTTGTACATTAATATAATTTATAAGCAAAATTTTATTCTTAGCAACACCTTACTCAAAGCAACGATCCATTCACGCTATTAATTCTCTTAATAAATTAAAAAGGAAATCTAGATGATCGCCTAGAAGACATAAATCATCATTCTCGTAGCTCTCAGTAAAAGATTAAGGCTATCGTTTTACCTTTGAGGAGAATTATCGACGAAACCAATGGCATCCTCTTCAAGGTCTAAAGTGGCTCTTACTGATACTTGAGCTGACCGAATTAAATCAAGTACCTGAATTAATTCGGTTAGTTCACGAGTTAGCTTCGATACACGAGATTTGTTAAATATCCTAATCATAAATGTTTCCTTTTATGTTGTTAGGAAATAAATGGTATTCGAATTATTTATGAACTTTAAAATATAGAAGGTTGAAAGTTTGATGGTATTCTACTATGTGTTACGCGATATACTTGCAAATTCTAAACCGATTCTAATTATTAATGGCAGTTGATAAAATTTTATCTTCGTTTAGTTTCATACTAATTTAGTTCAGATAGACATCATCTTCAAAATCTGAAAATTATAATAATACTACAAGTAGACGTGAATAATAACTTACAAATAAAATTATCTTATGATAGTCATTGTTCAAAAATCATTTTTAAATTTTTTCTTTGGCTACACGAGTAGTAAATGTATCTGACATTTCCCTAAAATTCCTTAAAAGAAAAAAACATTGAGAGTTATAACAAAAAATACTACGTCGCAGTCACTTGGTACAATATAATTTAATGATACTGAAGATATATATCAACAAAGTAAAAAAGTCAGGAATTTCTGCCTTCCTATAAAAATTCTCTACAATAAATTTACTAGATGCAACTACCTCACATCACGACTAAATTAAAAAGCACCTGTGCATAAAAATGTAATATCTCACCTGGGCTGCTATGTCGCTCGGTTTATTAAAGTCCCCAAGAAAAGTGATAAAAATGATGAGCCCGCCGCCTCCCTTGAGATGCTTTGTCTTTATTTTGTTATCATTTTTAAAACAGAGCTCGTTTTATTTACAGCAAAGCATCTTGAATACGTTTCGAAACTGAGGGGAGACGAGATTAAACTGTATTCATTTGTTTCAATTTGTATTATGACGTTCAAGCGTGATAAGGGTGTCCAGAGACTGCAAGGTCCTTTGTTTTGTATATGGATTAGTTCAGCATTAACTCATATTTTAGCTAGTAAATCTCTGTTCGTATGATAAATAAGCTCTTATGTTGAATGTACCCTTAATTATTTGCCTTTATGGATATAATCAGGATTATTTTAAAATATAAATTGAATAACCTGCAACTATTAGTTTCTTTAAAGAAGTACTTTTTACTTCTATATTTTTTATATATATTTTAAAGGCCTAGAGAAAGTCAATAATGTTCATATCTTAGATGAAAATTACAATTTTTCATCTGACTAACGTGAATTTATTTTACATTCTCACAATATAAAAAGATCCTGATGTGAAAGGCCTGAGAATCCATACCATTTAGTAATCTCACTTTTTATAAAAACAACCAAAGTCATAAGAAGGAAATAAATACGTAAGTATTAAGTACTTACCTAATTAAATAAAGTTTGTTTACAATGCATAAACAAAAATTTTATCACATTATTTTAAAGATTCTTTTACTTATAAAAATCTACATTATCAGCCAATACATAGGCTATATATTAATTTCGAAATTCTATATACACACCTGCGAAGCCAGGACAAATCGCTAACACCTAACATGAATAAAAATTGTGTTTATAATGCCTAGGTTCAAAAATAATATTTTTAAAGTGACTTCAGATATCTATAAATAGTGATAATTTTACCTCTTATATGTAAGTTGTAAGTTAATAATAAAGATGTTAAATTAACAATAGTATTATTCTATTAAAAGTGTTTTTTGACAAACGAGTAACTTCTTTTGTTGGAAGTAACTTCAGACTAAGATACTATACTTGGGTAATATAAGCTACTTTGTTACAAAGTATGTCAGGATATATGAGATACAAAGAGACTCTATTATGTTTATTTAGTCAAGTACATCAAAAAGTGTAGAGTATTTTACATACATAATAATAATTATTGCTATGGTACAAACATTGACTTTCCTTCATTATTAAGTCATAGTAATATAAATTAAACGGAACAAAGGAATGAAACTCCAAACAAATTTAAGGCAAGCTACTGTATATATCTTTTATATCTTCACGCAGGGTACTTATGGGAAAGGCAAAGAAAATTTAGTACCAAAACCTGACTATTCAGTGATTTAATATACGTTTTGTTATATATTGTATTTTCAAACTTCAAACGGCTATCATTTCAGTTATATTTATGTTTGTATAAAATAAAATTTCTTAACCATGACTTCATCTGCATGATCGGGACTGAGATAAAAATATTTTTCTCCATTTTAAAAAGTATAGTTTTGTCAATCGAATTCATATTTTCACATTTGTAATATCATTAAGAATTACAATTGTAAACATTTGTATTCAAACGAATATAATATCGTACCATTATTTAAAAAGACAAAACTAAATTGTATAATATAATAACAAAGCACTAAAACAATAATGTCTAACACTAACACCTGAAATATAATACGAAATATTATTTTTCAGAAGTTCTGCCTTGTGCGCTATGACAGCCCATCAATCTTTCTTCGCTTAGTCCTTGGCACCGGCTCACGAGCTTATAATAAATGAATTTTTAACCCCACCACCCCGCTACCCACCAGACCTCTGTCAAAGCTCTATTAAGCCAAGAAGGGCATAAGTATTATAAAGTTATTAAAAGTACAAAATACAATTTAAAAAAATACTGTTGACGTCGCTGTCCATGAGGACAGTCATGAATGATTTTTTTATACAACAAGGGTAACAGTCAAGCGTACGGTTCGCTGGAATGTCAGTAGTACCGTAAATATTTGTACAAATATCAGTAGTGGATGCTTGTATTAGAGACGTTGTACATTGCTTAATATGACTGAAGACCATCGTATCCAATAATTACTCTGTCATATCTCAAACGTCACGAACACAGTATTACAGACAAGTTGGTTGGCAGTAGAAATACGAAATACCTAATATGTATACCTATATGTATTTGGTAAATATTAAATAATATACTTGTAGTATGTGCTTATCCATATATACAATAAAAATTAAAATCCTCTAAAACAAAGGAATGTAACAAAGACGTAGAAAATCAATAAAAAAATGCTCAATTTATGAATTCCATTCCTATTACAGTTACAAAGTAATGTATCTGTTTACTTTTGTATCATTTATTTTAATTATTTACTGTAATTCTTATTTGTGACACAAGTGCAATAGAATTACAATAATTAGAATTGATGATTATTTAATAATTGATTTGTGACAAAGAACTTAAATGTATGAATTGTTTTAGTTCATACATGTGGCAGTAAACTATATTATTCTACGAGATTCTTTCGACAGTCTAGCAGTTCTATACGCTTACTAAATCTAATATATGTTTAATAGTAAATCATATGAAAATATGTACAATTCTATTTTTATATTAATGACAAAATACAAATATAAAAGAAAGGAAATGAGAAGGATATTAGAATTGACATACAAAATACAAATACGCTTCAGTGCCTAATATAGGCTTACACGGGGTTGTCACAATGAAAACTTTGTCTTCATTATGCAGAATACTAAGAATTTAATTTACTATAGAGCTCATCATTGTTTCAATTCTTATAAAGCTTGCTGTTTCAAACGCGTAATTATAATTGCAAAATCGTCAAATCTGTTTAAATTTCTGCTAATATCTCGTTAAATCTTAAGTAATATATATTTGTTATCCTCTAACAAGCTATTGAAATAATTATTAATAAGTATTTATATATAAGTGTTTACGTTGTCGTTGAAGTAAATATAAACGATGTTAAGATCTACAATAAAACTGTAATGATCAAAGTTAGTCGTCTCACTCCCTATAAAGAAACTTAAAGCTATCTTACGTAAGCTAGTTTAATTCGTAATCGTAATGTAATAGTCTTTAATTTTGAACTTTATACCAAGAGCAGTAAAACACAAAGACAAATGTTTGTTATCTGTTGAGACGATCAGTTTTATCTTCACATTTATTATAGCTTCTAGAATGCAATGCGCAAGTTACAATAGTAATTGGCGCGTCATATGTATGAGTTCTAACTGTACTGAAACTTTAAAATGGCGTTTAAATTAAATTATGAAATTTCATGCTAATGTCGTACAAGTGTGAAATATTCCAACTACTAATCAAAACAGACACTTATTCGTTGTTTTATGAGTACTATTTAGTGGAAATTTCACAAATATTATTATGACTGCCAGCTACCGCCTTATTACCATCTGTGACTGCTCTATCTACTTAAATCATCTTTCAACAGGCTTCCTTTTTTTATTCCACAGAATAACTTTTAATTTTATTTATCTCCACACGTGTACATATTGTGCTTTGGAATGTCCGCCTGATTCAATTTTATTAATGGACTTGGACGTTTGCCCTACTGACTGTGAACGCGGCTATTCTATTTGTCGCGAGACGTATCTTATAGCGGTCTATGCTGATGAACTTTGTGACTTACTGCCTAGTCCTTAGACACTCATTTGTTTATCCCGAACACTACTTTCCGAACGTGTTCTGTTAGGCGAAACGTCAAATCGTGGCCGGAGACTGCATTGAGTCAGAATACATACGAGATGTCAACAAGGCCGACCCGCTTTCAGAGGCATTTACGATATTGCTTTTGGACTAATTTACTTTACGGTTGACATTAATAACCACGTTCGACGTATTTGACATTAAATGGATCAACATTTTTTGGAACGCGACTTTACTATACACGTGTATATTTTGTGTGGCATGGGGAGTAATTAATTAAGTGATTTATATCGCCATTTGTTTCAGAATGAGCTGGTAACCAGATTGGTGTAGCGGCGACGCCCATGTTGTGATGGCTGCAGTTAATTCGGTAAGCTTTACAATACACATTGTGAAAAAACATTATAAAATGTTTACCATAAATTTGTCAGGGCTGCAAAGCATTCACGAGATAATTTTATGCGAAATGAAACAGGCTTCGTATAAACTGGCTCGAACATTAATAGCGTATAATTCAATGTTATTAGGGGAAGCTACAGTCTCATTAGCAGAATTCAATCTTTCGTGAAAATCGAGCTCATTATGTACGCGCTAATTGGCTTCATTTCTGCTTAGTCTTCTACAGTGAGTTTGCACTGATAGTTCCGTGTCACGCAACTATCGCTTTAACTTTAACATTAATTCGTTAATGTTTATATTATAAGAGAAGATAAATTTATAATTATATTAGTATTTATGATACAGATAATACTTTACAAAATGTTTAATAATTGTAGATATTTTTAGTTTGTTTTATGATATTCATGATGGCATTCTTGTCTATAGACGGCAGGTGAAAGATGTGCTGTCAACTTAAAAAATATTCCATTTACATATATAAAGAAAATAATAAAGAAATTAAATACCAAAAAATTATAAATTATAAACAAGTTTTATGTAAAAACAACTTAAATATGTTTTATTGATTATTATTTTAATTATAAATCAATGCACCGCCATTTACTTTCTTTATTTAGTGTAAAGGTTGACTAGTAGAGAATGTCATCCAGCATTTAGTGCAGCCTGTATATATATTTTAATGTGTGCAAAAGAATAAATAATTAAATATGTTACGTAAATACATAGATAATTTAATTATAACAATATTTTCTACTTTTTTCTTACTTCTAACGTGCCTGATAAAGACAGTAGGTATCTTTTCAATCTTACTTTCACATTTTCAGACGTTAAAAAACGCCCTATTTGTTCTTGACAAAATAGATTTCCAGTGATCGCAGTGATCGAATCAGCTCGATTTTACTACTCTTTGAACTACCACTCCTTGTTTTATCTACTGTACGCTTTTTTTCTCGGCCATAAGCTCCGTTTAGAGCTTAACAGCCTGCCATTGAGGTACGTAACTGCGGGTTGGCTCATCACTGCTGCCAGGCAGGTAACGTGGCCAGTTAACTTAGACCCGTGTAGTTTTATCCAGTTTTAGACTTATTGAAGTTTTATAGGAGGCAGGCGTGTCTACTGACACTGGTTGTAACATAATGGCGCCAGAGAGTATTGGACGTTCCACCATGGACGTCTTCCAAATCACATCACATTTGAATAGCGAGTGCAGTTAGGTAATCGACGGTTAATGACTCTTACCGCTCTACTTTTGTGAATTCTTAATTGGCGTAAAGATAAATGTTATAAATATTTATTTTTAATTTTTATTAATATATTGTAGTAAGAGTTCATGCGATACCGAACCAAAAACGACGGTTGTTAAATTTTTTCTGTTTGTATATTTGTCGCTTTGTATATTTATATGTCAGCATTCACGTAAAATCAACTGTAATTATTTTGAAGAAATTTTCACAGTATATTAAACTAAATATGAATCCACATTTATCCTAATATTATAAATGTGAATATGAGTTTGTTTGTTACCTTATAGCGCCTTTACGGCCTTACTAACCATTTTGAAATTTCATATAACATACTATATGGGATAAAGAAGGATATAGTATACCTTTTATTCCAGTCAGTAAACATATCCCGGACAAGCAGACGAAGTCGCGGGAAATAGCAAAGTAGGTTTTAAAAAGTTAAAAAAATACTTTACAGGAAGATTAAAAAGAGAATAGAGTCACTCGACAATAGATGATAGAAAAATTAAAATGTAAAAATGCTGTACAAAATTAATGTAACGTACATGCGAAGTAGTTAACGGTCGCTACAACAACACGCGAAGCAAGTTATGGGCACAGCTAAATGGAATTAAACTTTATCACTTGCAAAAGTAATCATGAAAATCGATACACAATTGGTACAGATATTGCGTAACATTATACACAAAACTGTATTATTGAATTGACAAGTTACGCATTTCAATAGTCGCTTAAAAATGTTCCACTGTACGTCGGTAGGTAAAAAGAAAATACGAACAATAACTCATCTATAGAACAAAATCGCGACTAACTAATTTTAACTTTACCATACCAAGTTGTCTGGCCTTGCAACTTCCAAAGGTAAAGTCAAAAACTTTTTTCATGTTCCTGAATTTGGACAGAAGTTCTTTGTTTTGTGCCACGACCGTTTCCAGCTAAGAGGATTGGTTCTAATTAGATGTGATTAATTATACACTAGATATAAGCAGTACTAAGATTATATTGCGTAGACAATTATCATTATTCTAAATAATAAATGGGTTATTGCTGTGTATTACTATAATAATAAAAACGATAATTTTTAGATTTTAAATATAAAATACTTCAATCAATACAAATTAGTTTTATATGATGAGAACACACACAATGCTTTTGATTGAAAAAGAAGCATCACAATCGGTGCAGACTTGAATAATATAGAAAAAAAAATATTTAATTAGTGTTTATTTTTACAATTAATTACAAAAATATTGTCTAAAATAGACAAAAAATAGTAAATAAAAGAAATACAGTTAAAATAAGAAATTATGCAATTTAGAATGGCAAACAAGCAAACTACGATTCTCTTCCTCTTTGAATAGGTTGACTTTTGACAGAGATATGACTTGATATTCGTACAAAAAAACACTTTCAGTTAGAAGAGTGGGATATCCCACAATTGCAGACCCTGCCCTGCATTTGCAGGGTACGGAAGCTTAACATTTTAGCGTTCAGGAATGGCGTCACATAAATATTATGGTGTAAGGTACCACGAACGTCACAGTATGTTCTATTATGGCCATCATGTTTCATATTTTTAGGTGACGACTATCACTTGACATTATATTTAGCATCCGCTTGCTTACCGTTCTATGTTGCATAAAAATCCCATCAAATTGAAAATGTTTTGAACTTGACAATACACAAAAATTATCGTGTATATTGTTCATTTTACAAGGGATTTTAAACTGGGACATACGCTGCAAAACGGGTTAACATTATTTACAAAACATCCGTCGTTTGATGTGCTAAGCTGATGTTTCATGTTCGGAAGCAATGATCATTAACGTCAGTCAAATAGAATAGCCAGTATCCAACCGATTACTGTGAACATCCATCGTCTTGTGTCTCCAACGATAAATTATTTTGTCAACGTCTTTTATTATAATTGATTTCATAACGATGTTAAACTCATACCAGTTTCACCGTCTTTAAAAATGAAAGCTAATTGATATTTTAATGATTACAAAAGAACGGGATCCAACTGGATTTTTCTGCGCACCCACGTGAACTAGTATAAAAAGTATATTTTTTACTGAACTAGACGTTATTTTGCGGAAGTAAATATCACTGGTTAGTGGGTTAGTTAGAATTATTTTGTTTAATTTCGCTACCATTGGTGTGCGTGCGACTGTTAACATTTAATGATTGGTTACTATTATTATTAGTAGAAATTTTATTAAATAATTAATTAAACAAAATAATTCTAATCGACTAACCATTAAAAAGTGAATATATTCGCTCTAGGATGTGGTGTATATGTATGTGTATGTATGTATAAATTTTATACTTATCCATGCAGCGTAATTGAGTAACAAAGATCAAAACTTTTACATATATAATATTTATAAACAACCACAGTTTAGTTAGACACCACTTGCCTGTGGTCCCAGGATCCCTAAATCAAATTCCAGTCCAAATTTCAAAATATTGAAATTCACGTTAGGATTATTTAAAAATTACTATCACTTAATTTGTGCTTTGAAGGGCATATAAACTCATGATCCAGTACGCCACGTGATTCTCGTGTTTATAAATGAAGGCGACATAGATCCTATTGACACCAGAGAGCGACATCCTCACACGAGTAACAGTAGTAGGATACAATTGGTTACAAATAAGACATATTAAATTTGTGATTTCTGAATCATAAAACGTAAATAACAAAGTATTATTGCCTTACTACAAAAAATACTTAAATCACTTTTTGTCTAAAATAAATTAAGATTAAATATTGTTTAGTCAGCTAATTTTTTATGCCACTTAGAATGGCAAACAAGCTGACGGCCCACCTGATGGAAAGTAGGAACCACCGCCTATAGATATGAGCAGTAGAATAGTATAATAAGGTTTATTTGTAATGTTATGTATCAAAGGTAATAATTGAATATATTATTACCACAATATGCCTTTCAGGTCTTTCATATTTTTTCTATTCACAAATTTCTTCAATATTTCCATATATATACAATGTGACAGACAATTTTCCTTTTAACATAAACAGACGTTAGGACATGTTTTTGTAGTAAGACGTTTAAACATGTATTGTACACCTGTAAGACGGTTAATATCTATATGAAATAAACTTGCTTCATACCGAATTACAATCACAAATTCGCCTTCTTTCATCTATTTCCCGCCACCAATTCACACTTTTGACAGCATGTGACATTAACCCTATAAAGATTACGTCACGAATTCTCGCTGTAGCTTCCCCACTGAGATCTCACGTAGCCCCGTTCCAATTTCGAGGAAATTCACTCTCTTGCTGTCTTTTATTGCATTAGTTTCCAGTCCAGACGTTCCGGAATCGATGACGTGTACGTTTAACGTTTCTCGAAATGTTTAATTTTATATTCTATGGTAGGTAGATGTATCTGTTATATGAGTAGAATTGATATTTATGTAAATTAGTTGGAGTTTATTATAGTTGGAATTGGGTTAAAAATTTATTATTTTATTTCGCATAAAAACTGTCCCCAACTTTTGACAGAACGACATTTGTTGGGTCAACTAGTTATAAGTAAAATAAAATAGAACCTATTGACATAAATGTAAAAAAATACAAGAAATTAAAAATACATTCTAATTTGCAATTTCTTAATAATTATACTAATAGAAATGTAAATAATGAACTGAGTGTTTTTAAAACTAAACAAGCTTTCACTCATCACAATCATATGACAAG